TTTATTGCTCCACTGTGCAACTGTGAAGAGTCACGTACGTGTCGGATAAATAAATGAGCTACGGACCTCCACAGTTGTCACTACGGAACGTTAATCATTATCTTTATGTATTTACAAAAAAATATTACATAAATTCCAGCCAGATATGAACATGTTTAAGTCATGTATCATGTTCATGTATCATAATCAAGACATGTATCCAACAATACACATTTTTTTAATGTACGAAGATGGCAAACGAGCTGGTGGTTCACCTGAAGTTAAGTGATAACCGCCGCCCATGGACATTACAAATAACATATAATTAAGTGGGTACCCGGCTACCTTACTCAGCAGACGAAACGCAGAAGTATATCACTTCCTCATCATGCGGTAATAATAACCGATATATGAAATAGTTGCCATATACTTCGAGTTATAGTTCGATATAAGCCCACACACAGTTACAACCACCGAAGTGAAATGACAATGAACTCTCGCCATTTCACTAATCGTAATTATTTATCATTTAACCGTCATTTCGTATCGTGACATAATAGTGAAAAGGTTAAATGGACAGAGGATGGAATTTGAACTACCACCATACGGTTAAATGGTTTAATAATTAATATGTTTACGATCGAACGAAAATATAATTTTATGGGCGTGGTGGTTTTTGTAGCTTGGGAGGTCTATGCATGGTTTGAGGTGGAATATTTGAATCTCATTTGGGTTTATTAATAAGACTTCTTAGATACCATTTCTGCTTAATTACTCCTACGAGTAAGAAGGCTACAGTTTGTATATTTATACTTATTACTAACCATATACAAGCGAGGTGAAAACATTATTATAATGAAATATTCACTCATGTTTAGATAGAACTGTGGGTATGTAAGAGCTAGTAATAATAACCTATTAGATTCAACGCACATTGGTATAACAAATCATTGTATTTATAAAATTATTCCTGATAAAGCAAGGCGAAAGTAATTACATGAGCAAAGGCAACATACGACAAGAAAATAGACAGAACACTGACCAGTTATTGAACAGAAAAAGGTTTCAGAACAGAAATATTACTTAACACACTGGCGGTGAAACCATTACTAATACGAAAAAAATTGATTTCACAATGAGAAGCGGAAACAGATTGTGACGTGGCGTCCATTACGCGCACAGTTGGACGCCGTTTTATTCGAAGCATCTCGGAACCGTCAATCGCGAGGCAATTTATCAGTCATAAAATATTTCCGATGTCCGTTCCGTGAGCGTTACTGGAAATCAATGTTCACGGAAGTAGCGATGTGTCTTATCCGCCTCCGTTGTAGCCGTGGAGGGGCAGACAGAGAAGGACGAAGAGCCAAGCGAGAAAGCGCCGAACTTCTTGGCGGGCCGCCAACACGCAACCCGTCAAAACGATTCTAAATTTATGAAATCCACCTACCCACCTAATTTGTGAAAGGAAATTCGTTCTGATAATTTGAATTCTTTCGGGCCATCGGCGGAGAGATCGTTATTTTTTGTTTCACGACAAATCACCAGCATTCGGCGAAGGTTCAATGATTCATGATTATAATGAGAAAGTATCTAAACATACATTTGTTCATAACCACATGAATAAACCAACTGTGATAAAATCCGTAAACTAGTTAAATCAAAAATTTCAACATTCGCATAATTATATAAAATCATCATCATAATGAAATAGATACAAAAAGAAATGCGTCAATGTTTCATACATAATCTGGCTATATAGCTGTAACTGAAAATGTTAATAGAAAAAATAAGCTCTTATGAAAGTTTTGTTTCACTAAGCCTACTTAATCCCAAACTGGAGAAGCCTTAGTGTCAGACAACATAATTTTGAATGAAAGAGATTCTAAAAATAGATAAAACATGCATGTCACAAGGGTTCGCCACTAGGTTATCACTGTCTGTTTTCACACTATTATCACACAAACTTATGGAAGACTGGCTTTAGTTTGACGTGAAGTTGGTGAGTTACTTTATAAGGTGCCTACTCCTGCCTACTCCTTGTTTGCCCCTTGAAGTTAAGTGGGAATGCTATCGTCGGTGTATACTTAAAAGCCAAGTAAAAGCCTATTCACGCGGCACCATCGGACAGAAGGATAGACTTCGGAAGTTTTTCTATAACTTAGCAAAGTGGTTGATTCTCATGCGTGGATTGTTCTAATAGTTCAAAAACGGAAAGGGGAGGGAGGAATGAATTCGGATAGTTCCACTGCATACTTCCTAAAATTTAACCTGTAGAATACCGTGAGGCTTGCCTTTCTTATAGGACACTTATGGTAGATGCTAGTTTTATTAGTGCTTACGAAATAAAGGTCACTAACGAGCTTCTTCGCACACCTATCTTTTAAGTTCAAAGCAACAAGACGGCAATATGACAGCAGTACTTCGCAAGCGACAGACGGGCTTCTGCTTTATAAAGAGTCAGAAGCTGTTCTAGTAATTTTAAGATCTCACCTTCTGGTGTGAAGTACTGCCATCCTCTAGCAAGGGTACCCAATTTATTTGCAGCTGCTTTGGCCTCAGACTCAATAAATGCCACAAAGTTGGGGTATAAGAAATATCTACTCCCATCAACAGAAGATACATTACCAGGTCTCATTTACAAAACTGTTTCGGATCAGGTCAAAACAGACTGGGCAAACCAAGGCGGCTCAGTTCTAAAAAGGAGAAAGGATATAAATACAATGTTTTTTTGGAAATTGATTGTAGAAAAAAAAGGTGACGATCAGCTAGCGTGAAGGTTTTAAAAATTCATATTGTTTCCGTCAATTAACATTGTTTACCTTTTAAAGAAGCTTACTGCTAGTAACAATAGAAATTAAATCTTCAAATGCTTAGGATAGAAATGTATTCATACGCTTCGCAGCTGCACTTTATTTGTTTTTTATACGAGGATAGACAAGTACACAAGTGTAAACTGTTACTTCTCATATTGAGGCCAATGTTCACAATGCTCACAAATCATGCCATATGTGAATTCTTAAAATTGCCTTTTTCCGACCTAATTTGCGATTGTTCTTCAACATTATACAATATATAATGATGATAATTCGGTAGCAAATGTGTAACTATAAAATCACTTGTATATCAGTGGTGATTCAAAAAGATATACTGTGATAACTCCAGTGCTTTAGAGTGCGCTGGAAAATCTTAAGGTTGAATTCTTGCACTTGGGTAAACTGCATTTACCCAACTGTGACCAAAACAGTGTTAAGTGTTTTTCGACTAATTATATCAGTAATACTCAATTAAAATGATGACAATTGAATTGTAGTATCCTGATATTTTTGAAAAAGAGCAACTGTTGAGTTTCTTGCCGGTCTCTTCTCAACAGAAACTGCTTTCTGAACCGGTGGTACCTTACGAACCTATACACATAATCTTTGATGTAAAATTTGACGATTCATAAGAGCGCGCAAGCGTCTATTTGAATAAATATATTTTTCGTTTTTGGTTTTGATATATTTTTTTTTTAGTTTGTCGTGCGTCAATGATAGCCACTGTAGAATTTCAAGTTTACCTTTTTATTACGTACAAAAATACCGTGTCATGATTGAATCCGATATACCACACGTCACATAAGGACGTAATAACGAAACGTGGAGAATTAAGCTTTCATTGTGTACTGATAAAATTTAGATAATTAAGCCGTGTTTTATCTCTTTAATTAAAATTAAGTATCCCTTTACCTCTTGTTAAGAAAGATGTAAGCATTATCAGGTCAGTATTATTAACCCGATGGTTCTACAGCCTCCTTTTCCTTAAACATACACATTAAATTCATATAGAACCTGAGAAAAAAAGAGGATCACTCCAATGACTCGACTTGAGTGGAATAGCACGTTCAAGCAGCTTTCAATTGCCGGATTTTCCAAGTCTGCCACTTGTCAGTGCAAGCGGATTTGTGGCATCTCGCTGCGGAGTTCTCGAATACGTTTAACCAAACGGCGTAATACAGACATTTAGTGCTCTCCTATTCTGAGAGCTTGCAATGCCCTAAAGATAATATGTATTAGTGATGCAAACAGATCAATAAGGATTTGGGTTATAGGAACTTTAAATTTTATCTTCTTTAGGTAATTGCCGTATTACGATTTATTTGCTTACTCTCATGTCTTGGTGGCACAAAGCACTTTTTAGTGAAATACCCGTTATATTTTATGAATCAATATAAAATAAAAAAAATTATAAATCATTGTTGCTAACAAATACAAAAAAAAAATGGGTGCGTGTACTTATGTGCGCGCGTGAGAAGTTATACTTCTTTGGCATCATTAAAAAATAGTTTTTAATTGCATGCAAATAATTAATAACAATAAAATAATAAAAAGACTGGAAAAGGATATTAACAATAACAATAGTAAAATTATGAAAGCGCCATCTTCATTTTTTATTGAGAACTGTAACGGGCGAATGTGATTGATGATATACAGCCAAGTATTATAAACGGTTTAGCGGGCAGTTTCAAAGGTGTGAATTATGTGTTACGGTGATGCGCGCGCATCTTAAAATTTCACTCTCATCACTTTTTCATAACGCGCCTAAAGAAGTATAACTTCAAAAAAGTTCTTATAACGAAACACAAAACCGACTCCAAATCTCGCTCTCTATTCATTTTATAATTGATTTTCAGGAGTTATCTAAGTATCTCCGGAGCCTAATATCCAATACCAATTAAATAAATATGGGACCACATGGGAAGCACCAGCTTTCAAATAAATAAAGAATCATCAAAATCGATCCAGTCAGTCGAAAGTTATGAGGTAACAAACATAAAAAAAATACAGTCGAATTGAGAACCTCTTTTTTTGAAGTCGGTTAAAAAAAAGGATTGTTAAATATTTCGGAAGCAGCGACGGACGTTGCATCAACAAAGAGCCCGATGAACGTTCGCCCATTCCGTCCGCGTTTCGGCCTTCGCCGCGAAACGTAACGAGCCCAAATGGGGGGCAAAGTAAAATATAATGATGTACGAAAATTCCGGGATGCGGGACGCGACCGAATCGCGATCACCGGTCCCACCTTCGTTCGCGATTGGCATTCGGAGCACACGCGCCGATGTGTTGCTGTTTAAACATATTCCGGTTGTTTGCGGGCGGCGGGCAGGGGTGGCCTGGTGGGGTTGTCAACAGTGCCGCGTCGCGTTCGACGGAATGTTTTTCGGTGTGTTGCTTGTCCCGCGCTGTTTGCCTTCTCGAGGTTTACGTTTTGTACCGCGTTCGATCCTCAGCGTGTAATTTTATTTTGCCTCTAATGGACGTCACAGCTGCGTCAAGTATTTGAGCTAGGGCTCAAATTTAGATGTTAGGACCGCTGTACAGATTCGTAAAATTATAGCAAAAGAAAAGTAAAAAAGTATTTTATTTCTTGTATTTTATTTCTTGCACACCTACGTAGTATCTTTAAATAACACACCCTCTACATAGTTCTCGCATTGCTACATAAATTAACACCTTCACACGGAGTAGTTTTTCGACCGATTTTCATTCTCGTTCTCAAAATCAGTGCTCGCAACACCATACTATATATTAGTATACCAGGGTTCATAACGCTTCGTGGCAGAAGCGGGATGAACCCTTTCCCGGTGTATATTCGTGTGATAAACCCATGAATACAAATCCCGTCGGGGGATAGTTCGCGTAATAAAGTGTACCCGATCAGAGGCGACGGCGCGAAAGAGATTCTAATAACATTCAAAACTCGTCCCTCCCGGGACAGCGGTGTCAGTTTAATTACGGGCCGGGGACACGCCACGCCGTCTCCGGTGCGGATTTTTTCCTACCCGGACAAAGGGCGATTAAAAAACTTAGTAATGAGAATCGCCCGCCGAATAAAGGGTGGGATCGGGAGCGCGCTCGCACAATGCTGGGTTATCGTTATTGAAGCCTTTCAGGAATAATGAGTTGTGTGTGTGAGTGTTTATAATTAATAATAATAATAGAGAAGTCATGTGCCCTAAATATTTACATGTGCAAGCATAAGTATGTACGGTTGATGGAAAACTACTGAGTCTTTGGTCATGGGGCAGGTTGAGTGTTGTACGTCTTTATAGTTGATCCGGGCTACCGTCAACTTTTTAATAATTGTGGCAGGGCCACTCAGTAGTTTTTGCTGTTGGACGAATTCCTCATCAAGTGAGGGAAATTAAAAGTACTGAAAAAATATTAATAATACTTCTGTGTTTATTAAGGTAACCGGGGTCTACTTAAAAGGTCGCACCGGGGCAGCAAACCTATGGGTGTTACAAATGTCCATGGGCAGCAATTATTATTAACATCAGTCGATCAGCAGGTTCACTTGCCACCTTCTGTCATAAAAAAAAATAATATTCCTTAATAAATAATAAAAATAAGGAGCTTATATTATGTGACATGTGGTCACCCATAGACATGCGTTACAGCAAAAGACTTTTGCCAGCCTTTGAGGCAAAAATAGGTCCATATTCGAAGGGCATCGGGAAATTTTGCCAGTAACAACTGATTTCATGAATGCCGTTGTACGAGGGCATCCCAAAAAACCTTGGCGCATTAACGCTCTACATGTCTATAACGCCGACTTCAAAGGGAACAGCCTAAAAATGTAATTTATTTGGATGAGGCCGCCTCGTCAAGCTTTTTCCGATGGAAATTACGCGGAACAAAAAAAAGCCTGGAAGGCACACCCGCGCCGGTGGATGCCTTAATAGGATTTAAAATGTAACGACGTGGTAATAATATTCGTAATTTCGCAGGTGCGCCGGTGGCTGTGGACGCGCACATGTGCGGTATAATGTGCGGGAGGAAAACGAAATGAGCAATCGTAGCGCCGGAAGACCTCTCGTAGCAGGAAGAGAACAGAGATAGCGCTAGGTCCGTTATCTCTTTCCCTTCCAGTAACGCGAAGCCTTTGGGCGGAATCGACGCCGTTATTCGAATAACGCGACGCTAAGCCACCTCCGGCGAATAAACGAGAGTCGGGGATAAAAGTTCACCTTCATTCCACCGCGCGGTATGCTTCGATTGCTTCTCGTCTTAGTGTTATTGCGAAAATGAGCGCTGCTTCGGACGTACATTTTCTATGGAGTTTTCATTATTCTTCATTTTAAAAGTTCGTACCGTCCCCGCCTCTAGGCTTTTCGCTTCGCAGCGCGCACTTGTTGCGATAACCTTGAGACAGGTCTTTGACTTTTATTTCTATTATTTTTTATTAGCTATCGGCCAGTACTTAGATGTGATGCTAAGCTATTGGCTATGGCACCGTGGGTCGTGGGTTCTAAAAAGAATGTCGGTGTTGTGTTTTTAGCCGCCCTCCCTATCCTCCCTATCCTCCCTATCCTCCGTGACTCGACGAGGCTGCACCGCTCACGCAGTGGTGGAGGAGCTGCGGGGGAAGAGGAGTATCGGAATTACGATTAGGCCTTCTCCCTATCCTCCGCAGCCAAAACGTGTTGAGCGGCGGAGTCCCAGGCCAGGACCGCCACTCCCATGGCTCTGTTCAGCGAACTCGGTGGATATCGTTGGCTATGAAAAAGAGGCCGAGTAGGAAGGCGCACTGAATGTTCCAGCGCGCCTTACCTGGAGAGAAGGGAGTTTATCCCCGAAAATGGGGACTGCCAAGGCGGCCAGCGATGGCAGGGTCGCGGAAGTGTGCGAAAGCGTTTCCGTGGTCCTACCGATATGCGCCTGGGTGGAACATCGGAGGGTTTTAGTTGACGCGAGTCCGACATAAGCCGTCCTTGCCCCCGCGAGGGCGGAAATGCGTAGGCATATCTCGCATGTTCAAAAAAAAGGCTCATCCAGTACCATCTTTCAAGGATAAATAATTTTTCTTTTTTTTGTATGAGAATGTGGCAAGCGAGATGGCGGTTCACCTAATCTTAAGTGATAACCGCCACATTTGCAAAAATCGCAGGGTTGCAGATGCGTTGGCACCTTTCAATAGAATAGGCTCCGGCTGCCTCACTCACCATACGAAACACAGAAGTATGACACTTTTAATTTACCCCGGTCTTCTGTGATCCGTGGTTCTTACCCTTTTTTTTTACCCGGACGGACGGATCCGTGGAACAGCCGGAGCTGTTGCGTGGCCCTACACGTAAACACGGCCAAGTGCAATTCAGACACGCGCACTGGTGGTTGCGTACTATTTTTGAAACTGGCCAGCGCTTAACTGCCACCCCCCCTGTAGTTATGTACCTGTTTGACAAACACGGAAATCGAGTAGGTACAAGGTAAGGCGGGCTATCTGATAACCGATAAAGCCAAGGGTGCTAGGATTGCCTTCACCTTTTGATGACTCCATGGCGCAGCTGCCAAGGTATTGGCTTCGGCGTCGGGGGTCGTGGGTTCGATCCCCCATACGGGACAACTATTTGTGTGACCCACAGATAGTTGTTTCGCATCTGGGTGTCTGTCCGCGTGAAATTTATGTTTGTAAAACGTCCTTACAACACAGGATAAATTTATCCTACAGTAAGGGCAATGTTTTTAAAAAAAATCAAAAATCAAATCCTCTGTAGTAAAATAATGCATATTATCTGTTTAAATTACTGTAACTAACTTTATTTAATCGTAGTTTGAACGGATGACAAATCAAGGAAATTAAGTTACGAAGACAAAATGAGTAACAACATTTTGCTTTGTACGTAACTTGTTACAATGTAAGCAGTTAGAATGGTATTAAGCTGTACAATACAGCTAATTTCAACAAAATAATCAAGTAACATTGGTGAAGTTCATTTGTTATAAAAGCACCTAAAATTCCTCTAACGAAAGGATAAACTAGATTGGAGGACAAATTTAATTTGGTTTAGTTAGAAAACTATTTTCCCATAAATTTATTTATTACTAGCCACGCCGAGAAAAATTAAAGACATGCAAATCATTAAATATTTTTGATGATTTGCCTGATTGCCAAAAATGTCTTCTTTGCGACCACAAAACTTACACCATGTGCAAATGTATGGTTCTCTTATGTTACAACAACTAACGAAACTGTTTGTCGGCATTTCATTATTAAAATTACAGTGGTAATTTATATTATTATTAAAACTAAAATTTCTAATCCTTTCTTTACTTCATATGTCCAAAGTAATTTCGATTAAAATTTGTTTGGGCGCATACGAACCCATATATGACCTAGATTTTTTTTCAGTTTTTATGAGTGTTTTTTTAAATCTCGTGATTGTTATTAATTTACTATGATTATACTTAAAATAGCCTATATTCTTTCTTGGGCTCTAGACTATCTGTGTACCAAATTTCATTTAAATCGGTTCAGTAGTTTTGGCATGAAAGCATTTTTTTTTTTATAAAAACATTGCCCTTACTTTAGGATAACATTATCCTGTGTTGTAAGGACGTTTTACAAACATAAATTTCACGCGGACAAACACCCAGATGCGAAACAAATATCTGTGGGTCACACAAATAGTTGTCCCGTGTGGGAATCGAACCCACGACCCCCGACGCTGAAGCCAATACCTTGGCAAATGCGCCACGGAGTCATCGTCATATATTTATAACAATAGTATGGATATCTACTAGATGACCCGGCAAACGTTGTTTTGCCATATAAATTATTTGTCGGGTAGAAAAAAGTGTTTGGGGTGGACCACCCTTATCACTTAGGGGTATAAAAATTAGTTATAAACTTATTAGTTATATACCTACTGAACATACATATAAAATTCATCAAAATCGGAGCCGTTTCGGAGGTGTATAAACACTAAAACTGACACAAGAATTTTATATATTAGATAATAGGTCGCAGTCAGCTTACCAACAGCAAATATGTTTAAATTTGCACGTTTCCAGTAGTGAGGATCGAATCAATAGCCTTGGGCACCAGATACCAAGTTCACTATCTTCAACGCCAATCAGGTCATAAGTGTTTGTACTTGTGCATTTTGACTGATATGTGGTGGAGCTGACGCCATCGTAAAATATTGGTAACGTAACTCTAATCCCGATGGTGTAATGAATGTCCATAGGCGATTGTAATCAACCATTACCGGGAAAATTGACGGCTCGTTTTTAGGGTCCGTACCCAAAGGGTAAGACGGAACCGTCTGTCATCGGCTGTGGCTCATGAACCGTGATGGTTAGAAAGGTGAAATTTTCACAGGTGATGTATTTCTGTTTCCGCTATAACAAAAAATACTAAAAAACAGAATAAAAAAATATTTAAATGAGGCTCTCATACAACAGTGTTGTTTTTCCCATTTTTTTAGATAATGGTACGGATCCAGTCGTGCTGGCGCTAGACTCGCCTTTGGCCCTTTTTTATCTCCTTTATATATCCGCTTTTAAAGAAAGAAGATTCATCAAATCTCGGATAAAACAATACGTGCAGTCCTATTGATTCTTGTTTTATGTTTCCAGTTCAAACGTCGAATTAGTTTTTAAGTAATAAACTTAATAATAAGTATTATAAGGGAACGCGTTTATGATTTATTTTCCGTCGATTTTAGTACATCTCTTTAGCAGTATATGACTTGAACAGTTTGCCAATAAACGGAATACTAGTCGAGACACCGCGTCAAGCCGGTATAACTTGCGAATGTCATGTGTGTATTGTTTTGAGGCTTTTCAACCGAGTCATTGAACAGATATTCTGTGAGCACAAATATGATGTAATAAACGGAAAGCGTCATTCACGAAGTCTTTAGGAGCGTGACTGCCCCGAGAACTTACAGAGTGGAATCCGTTACGTTCTTTGACATCCGACATTAGCAGTTTCATTGTATAACGTACTTAACAAATCCCACGCCGTATAAGTATTTAATTGAGCTTCATGTATCGGACGCAGTAATTGAATTTATTATACGTTTCTCCATAAAAAGACTGAAGAATTGTATAAGTATTTAATTGAGCTTCATGTATCGGACGCAGTAATTGAATTTATTATACGTTTCTCCATAAAAAGACTGAAGAATTGTATAAGATTACTGCCATGTCTACTTTTTGCCTATCCTCGCGTAGTCGGCAAGTAATCGTTAGCATTTTAACACTTCTACGAAGGACTGTTTTAATTACAAATGGGGTTCACTCGACCCCGTTTTAAAATCAGAATATATTTCAGTGTTAATGTCTTAATCAAGTCTACTAAAGTAGACAGATTTATCAAATATTCTCAGAACGGCGGGGGGACTATGTTCAGACATCTAAGATCTTCTAAAAGTGTTGTGGATTTAAAGTTCACTACCCGTACTTATACACTTAGCAGAATATGTCGGTATACTTGTTTGGTTGGCAAATATATTATAATATTTTGAAATCAATTGAAGTAGTTTACGCAATTTCATTAATTGGTCCTAAACGTGATAAATCGGTTTTATTTTACAAAGATAAAATATTTTTTTCTGTTTAAAGCGGATCCTTTTATAGAAATCATTGAAAAACAATCATCACTCAGATCACATCAAACTATTTTAAAAAAAACGTAATAGAAATTAACAATATTACATTTAATTTTATTTAAATATATCTTCTCCATAAGATATAATGTATTTTGCGTGTGGATTTTATAAACTAACTTTGTAGAAGAATTGTGATAACAAGTTCAACGTTGTCCCGTGTTGAATTAGAACTTCTGACCACCATATGAAACCAGCGACGTGCTATCGCTAACAGTGTCAAATATCATAATATTGTGTTTTACGTTGGGTTCCGCATCCGGTTTAGACACAATATTTGTATTACAAAACCAAGCGATACGGCTTGTCTATGGCTTAGGTCGAAGTGAGTCACTACGCAATCTTTTTAAGCAAATAAACGTTTTAACGCTCCCGTCGCTATATTTATTCTCAA